TATTTGAAAGCGCAATTAAAGGACTTGGCAAAGTGCCAAGGAGCCGCACGCGACACGCGCGCTTGCAACGGATGTTATGAAGGACGGGAATCTGCGCCGCAAAAAGGTGTAAGGCGGAGCATGGAGGAATTAGCGTGTTTCACGGTCCTGTATCTCCATTCCTGGGCATGTTTGGGCGGGGGGACCACGACACATCGACAGGGGGCTGATAGTCTCATACACCCTCAATGTGTGTGAGTACTATGTGTCTTTAACACGTTGACGACGAGCCATTTTTATTCATGACTTGCGCGTGGGACGGCACGTTTTTCTTGACTGAAAAATGGTAATTTCCATATAAATCAGTGATGTGAGTAGGAAATAACAAGAAAATGCAAAAAACCGCGAAATTTTCTTCAACCTCGAAAAGTATTTGAATTTTTTCAATTAACTCGAGGCAAATTCAAGGCCAGGCTATAAAAGTGGGATCCCCGCAATCCTTATCACCTCTATAAGGCAGCGTTCAGACTTCGCGACTTCGGTCGGTCGTTTGACGCGATCGATATGCTTTTGACTGCATCGATCGCGTTCAAAGCGCGACCGAAGCGCTGCTGTCGCGAAGTCTGAACGCTGCCTAAGCAGTCCTGTCACCATGAGCGCTCTGAATACCGATATCGACGAAATCAACCAAAGCTTTGACGAACTACTGCTTGATAGCGATGCTGAAGCCACAAGTAGTATGGAGGGAGATGACATGGCTCCTGCTGTAGTCCCTGACTCCGACAGTGATGAACTTGATTCTGAAGTCTCAGACGACGACGAAGAAGAAGCAGAAAATACGTGGGAGGACGAGGCTCAAAAATATGACAGATGGACCTTCAGCGAGCCTGTTGGACTTAGTGCAGAAGTGGAGAACTGTGAGACGCCACTCCAATTCTACGAGCTGTTTTTTTCAGAAGAACTTCTCGCCATGATAGTTACTCAGACCAACGTCTATGGACAAGCAAAGCAACGTGATTGGACTCACACGGATCCAGATGAACTGAGGATATTCTTCGGCCTCTGTATGCAGATGTCCCGCTGTCCATTCGATAACCAGCGGAATTACTGGTCGCTGAAACCTCGGAACTTGGCTAGAAACGGACATTCGGTTGCTGGAGATTTTATGGCCAGAGATCGATTTGAAGAGATTCAAAAGCATCTTCACTTCGTCGACAACGCTGCTGCTGAAAGAGTAACAAGCTTTACAAAGTGCAGCCTATCCTTGACTATCTGAACAAAAGATTTCAAGCCATGTACAAACCCGATAGGGAGCTGTGCATCGACGAGTCGATGGTGCCCTTCAGAGGACGTGTTTCGTTTTGGCAGTACAATGGATCAAAGCGTCATCGCTTCGGAATAAAGCTCTTCAAGCTCTGCTCTCGTGCTGGCTACACCCAGAAAATCAAAGTTTACGCCGGAAAAGATCCAAAAAGGACAACTAGTGTGGCAGAGGCTGTAGTGATGGAGTTGATGGATGGTTTTCTTGATGCAGGGACGCTGCCTCTGTACCGATAACTGGTACACTAGTTTGCCGCTGGCTCATAATCTCCTCAAGAAGAAGAACGGACTTGGTAGGAACCCTCGGAAGGAATCGTAAGGGCATCCCTCAGATCGTCAGAGACAAGAAACTGCGAAGGGGAGAGCTGATCTGCAAGCAGAACCTAAGCCGTCACCCAAGCGGCAAGCCCTTGGTTGTGGCCGACTATAATAAAATGAAGGGGTTCGTTGACCTCAGTGACCAGATGGCTGGCTATACTCCACTCCGTTTGATGAGAGACAGCCTAAGTGGTACCAGTCGTCTTTTTTCAGTCTACCTAACCCAGACGAGCCCTGGTCAACGCTTGGTTCCTGTATTGCGAGAAAATTCAGAAGATCAAAATAAATTACTTCAAGGAATTGATTGTTGAGGACCTGCTGTACAAGAACTTCAACAACGCCACCAGCAGGTCACGATCACGCAAACGGAGGCTAGTGTGTGATCAGAACGCAAAAGCTCAAAACAGACGACAGTGTTCTGACTGCTACACCTCGATCTGCGCAACTTCTGGAAGAACGACTGCCAGGAATCTGGCTAAGAAGACCAAGTCAAGATGCAGCGTGTGTAACAAATTTTGCTGCTTAGATTGTTTCGAATCAACTCATAATTGTTGATTATCTGTGGTATTGTATAGTGTGTATGTTTCATTGCATGTGTGTTGCTGTATTGCTGCATTGGCTGAAGATATAAAATTAAATATAAACCTACAAGTTTCATCCATATTCGGTCGATGCCGATATAAGTTACTTATTAATCTAAACTTGCTGTTTGACTAGAAGGTGAAGCAACTGCACTGATTTTATGAAAACAATAACAGTCGGAGAGCACTATCCCGCAACACAAGCTATCTGTCGCAGTACCCCGCCAGAAAAGTTTTCAGCGTGATTCGGAGTATTTTGGCGCCGGCGTGTGTGGCGCGGGCGCCAGGCATTTTCGCGGGAAACGAATGTGATATTCGTGTTCAGGGGCTCAAGCTACCCCACGAGACAAGTTTTCAGCGATTTTGGTGACCTAAGGTATTTTGGCGCCGGCGCCTGTGGCGCGGGCGCCGGGCAGTCCGGGCCAAACCACTGTGCTGTTCGTTTCAGAATTTCAGCCTACTCCTATAGACATCTTTTGACAAACTTGGTTGCTCGCACGT